AAGTCTTATAGCTCAGCAAGCTGCTGAACCAGGACCAAAACCCTGTATATGATGCTGCCTCTCTTGTATGTCTGGTCTTCTGAGAATTGCTTTCATTATAATAGGTTATGAACTTGAAGCAAAAGCTCTAGTAGTTCGTATGTGCTAGTAACTATTTTTGAATTCCAAATATAAAGAAATTTGAAAAACTTAATGTTCTTGTGTCACTGAGTGCTCAAGTCTATGGATTAGACTGCGTTAGAAAAACCTTAAACGTGGCTAGAAATTTTTATCAGCAGACCAGAATTAGGTGTCTCTAAATTCAGCTACTTAGGCAACATGCTACCCTATGGTTGACAAAGGAGGTATGATATCAATAAGGTTAGTATTTCCTTTGGGAAATAGACAATGGTGTTATTATGAGGGCAGTAGTAGTCAGGCTTCTAACTTAACTTATTTACCCACAGAGAGTCTGCTTCATCATGTGTGCGCTCTCCCTTGCTCCCCGCAGTCAGGCTTCTAAACTTACCCACAGAAAGTTTGCTTAATCATGTGCGTTCTCTCGCTCTCGCTCTCACTCTGTCTCGCTCCCACTCTGCCTACCCCCACACGCCCTTACACACAGATAGATAAATGTTTATAGCAGTTGGCCTGCCACCCATCTAGATGTGTAAGAGAAAGAACTACCAAGATCAAGAAGTAGGAGTTGCCAGAAGCATTAGCAAGAACATCTGGCTAATTGTGTTCCTGAATTTACAGCCACTTTGGAGTGTCTGCGACACTTTAGAGACTCCATTGCCATACCTTTTGCCTTGGCTATCCAAAAATACACTTCAAAACAGAAATACCTGATTCCCTTATCTCCTTTGCCTCACTCACCTTACTGAAGCATACCTGGGCCAGATAAACAACTGAACGTGAAGAGAGAGAAGAGAATGGAAAGTATCCTCCCCATCCCTAACATGGAGACATTAACTCTTGAAGTATTTTTCCTTGGCTTCTTGTATTTGGCCCCATGTGCCTGCCTTCTTTAGTTAAGAATTCTTTCATTTCTGAAACACCAGACATGCCCATAATGAAATGTTAAGAATGAAAACACATTTTGAATTATCTGCTGTGTTTGGAATATCTGTGCCCTTCTCTTCTTTACTAGCGCAAATATTTGAGAGTTAACTGAATGGCCATAAGATATCCCATTTTCAACAGATTTATCAGTCTTTGAGTTATTAGCCTCACTTATAAGGTGTATTTGATACTGAAAAGCAGAGTGAGCTCCCCCCCCCAAACTATGATACAGTTTCACATTATGGTGGCCAGGTAGCTGACTTATTTGTTGTGCTGACTTATTAGGCCATTTTGTAAGACATGGTTTAAGACTACATTGTTGCATAATTTTTAACGTTTAATGTTACAAGAAGGACTGGGAAACATTAGTAAGAACTAACCTATTAAATTGGTTTTCTTTCCTCTAGCAAATGTAGAGGGTAGGTCATGTGGCAAAAAGGTATGTTTGCCAAAATTCTCCCCGTAGCACAAAGACATTCAAGTATTACTGCTAGTGACAGATTTTTTTTTGAACCGTACTCATGGTTTGCAGCCCACAGTTATGTTACTTGATTATAATAAATAGGTAAGATGACGGGAGATAGATATAGCCTGTACAATAGTCCCACCTTATCTGCAGGGGATACATTTCAAAACCTCCAGTGAATATCTGAAACTGCAGATAGTACCAAACCCTATATATATTATTTTTTTCCCTATACATACTCATGATAGAGTTTAATTTATAAATTAGGAATGGCAAGAGATTAACAATAATAACTATTGGGTTGTTGGAAAAGTCATGATGTATTTTTCTATGTTTTTCATTGGCAAAAATGTGTCATGACTTTTCCGATGACTGAATAATAATAAAATAGAACAATTATAACAAAATAAGTGTTACTCGGACACAAACACTATAACAGTAGATCTGATAACCGAGGCGGCCACTAAGTGACTAATGGGCAGGTAGCATTTACAGTGTGGAGATGCTGGACAAAGGGAAGATTCAAATTCTGGGCAGGAAGAAGCAAGAAGGCGTGCAATTTCATCACACTGCTCAGAATGGCGCACAATTTAAAACTTATGAACTATTTATTTCTGGACCTTTCCATTGAATATTTTCAGATCATGGTTGACCGCAGGTAACTGAAACTTTAGAAAGCTAGCCCATGGATAAGGGGGGACTACCGTATATTCCTCACTTGAACAAAACACATTTATTATAAGTTAATTTTAAGGTTTCTGTAAGCTAATTCTTTTTTATTAATTTATGTTAAAATCACAACTGTGTTCCCATAGAGAAAAAATACCCAGGAAATTGAAGACTTTACAGACAAAATTAATCTACACCATGGTGTGCTGGGCTATCTTATTTTAGCAGGAATATTTTGTCTGTACGGACCTGTAGCAGTTACTCTTTAGAGGCAGCTGTAGAACATTGAAATTGCCATTGTGCTGTCTGCTCTCCTTCCATAACATAACACTTAACCCTTTATATTTCTCTCCAAACACATAACTCCCAAAACTTAGATTTCCTCCCTTTTCAATAATGTCTTATAACGTTGGATTGTAACATCATGCTTTGTCAGTAGGTGCTACTTCTAGCATGATTCAATCCTTAAAATTCCTGAAATGTAAGCTTTGGATTAAATCATATACAACTAACTCCTGGCTTTACAAAGTTCCATGTTTAAAAATCAAGTATGAGAGTTTCAATCCCTTCTACTGATATGCAAACAGCAACCAAGGCTCAACTACAACAGGACGGCACACATAACTCACGCAAGGGACACAGCTAGAGCACCTGGCTCACGTGACCAGGGAAACTACACCACTGGGTCTCATAGCACACCTATTACATAAGTCACTCTACTAAGAACAGGAGACATAGCAGCCCTACCTAATGCCTAGAAACAAACACAGAGAAGTAGCCAAAGTGGGGAGACAAACATGTCCCAAATAAAAGAACAGAACAAAGCTCCAGAAAAAGAACTAAACAAAATGGAGACAAGCAATCTACCAGACAGTTCGAAACACTGGTTATTAGGATGCTCAATGATCTCAGGGAGAACTTCAACAAAGAGATAGGAAACATAAAAATGGAGACAGAAAACAAAAAAGAACCAGTCAGAAATAAAGAGTATAATAACTGACATGAGGAATACACTAACTAGAGAGAATCAACAGTAGATTAGATGAAGCAGAGAATCAAATCAGTGATTTAGAGGATCAGAAATCACCCAATCAGAACAGAAAAAAAGAAAGCACAAAAAATGAGGATAGTTTAAGGGGCCTCTGAGATAAGGTCAAAGGCACCAACATTTGCATCATAGGTTACGAAAAGGAGAAGAGAGTGAGCAAGGGATTTAAAACATTTTTGAAGAACTAATGACAGAAAACTTCTCTAACATGGTGAAGGAAATAGACATACAAACCAAGGAAGTGCAGACAGTCCCAAACAAGATAAAGAGGCCCACACCAAGACACATCATAATTAAAATGCCAAAGGTTAAAGACAGAGAGAAAAATTTAAAAGCAGCATGAGTAAAGCAGTCAGTTACCTGCAAGGGAGCCCCCATAAGACTGTCAGCTGATTTCTCAACAGAAACTTTGTAG